ATTCAGCAGAAATAACGTAAAACTTGTGGCACTCAGCTAACAATATATTCGTGATACTCAGCCAATGAAACTTCGCTGCATTTATAATAAATTTTGCATCAAAATATGCCTGACACGTTCAAAAGAATTCGCTACCAGCTTGCTTCTAAGCGTCTCTGTCAGACGAGGAAATACTGCGAATAGAAGTGAGACATGTCACATCTTACAAATGGGTAAACAGGTTTGACGGGAAAATTACTCAAGAGGTAGTTCATTTCCAAAGAACGACCCCGTTCGAAGAAAATTGTTCATCCCGCTTTATGCAAAATTTATGATGATTCACGCTAGCGAGCACCCAAGGTAAATGTAAAGCAAGAACCATTCATGCAGCTATCGACCAGTTTGCTCTAAGTTTAGTGCAAAAACGCATTATTGCAAAAGCGCCTGGCAACTTGATACGTTCCAACCTAGAGTTTTTATTGCATTTTGCAGATGCAGGCAGCAATCTTAGTACTGCTTTTCCTTCACAGGCTTTCTAATTAGCGCTACAAATTCGTACTGCGTTTGTTTCTTTAACATTAATTCAAAAAAAAAAAAACTTTTTTTCAGGCCCATGGTACTTATTTAAATCGTGTTTTATAAATGTACACATTATTTCATTTCCGTTACTTTTTTTTTCATTTCCAATCTTTTAAACTTTTTGTTTCCTTTTACATATTTGCCATTTCAAAATCCATCTCTATTATAACTGCAAATCCATGTAAAAAACACGTAAAAAAAATCTTGCACGCACCAAATGTTCCCTCAGTTTTTATTTGTTTAACTCAACTTTTGCTTGTTTGGCAAGTTAAAATGCACTTCAGCATCTGACGGAACAGTGCAGCAAACCATTATTCATGTGCTGCGGGTTATCCGTGGCCCAGTCCCTGTAGGATCGTCCCTGCAGATTACCAGAAACGCTAAAACAGTCAGCACTCGATCACGTTTGCTTTACGTAGTGCTGAAGTAATATGTAGTTATAGAAAGGCGCGCTCGTGGTGCTTAAAAGGAAATTTTTTATTTTCTAGATACTACAAACATTCATGTCATCATAGGCGGATCCAGGACGGTCTTCTGAAAAGGGGTGGGGGCGATTTTTCACCTCCCCTTTTCTCTTCGTCAGTACACTTCCCTCCCTCAAGGGGCCACCTCCCAACCCATCCGTCGATCGCTGCGCTACCCCCCTCCCCCCTCTTCCTAATGCGCACTAAATTAAGAGTGGCAAAGCTCCTGGGGAGGGCGGGGGGAGGGAGGAGAGAGGGAGGGGCAACAGGGGGTACCAAATAGATTTTTATACAGTAAAACAACTGCTACCTGAGCCCCTTGCTAAAGGCCCCTCGCTGCTTCCTCCCTGGATCCACCAATGCATGTCATTCTTTTAGAAGCACACTGGGGTAAGGCTAGAGAATGACCTATACTTAGGGAAACACAATGAATAATAAACAACTAGCAGTCGAAAAGAAGATTAATATTAAAGATTAGTAAGAAAGGAAGCAAGAATAGAAATAGTAAAAAAAAAAAAAATAGAAATAGTAAGAAAAATAGAAGAAAAGAAGAAAGAAAAAAAACAGTAAGATTAGTAAAAACGAATATTAAAGATTAGTAAGAAAAGAAGAAATAGTAGGAAAAACAGAAGAAAAGAAGGAAAAAAAAATAGTAAGAAAAGAAGATTAATAAGAAACAACTGAACACTAGTAATTGATGAAAAATGTAAAATGAAACGAGAAATTTTTGTAATATAACAAATATGTTTTTGCATAGATTCAGCTTTATTCAAAACCCCTTCCACATCCGCTTTCAGTGAAGAGGGGAAGTACTGGGCAAGAGTAGTTAATAGTAGTTAAACTAACAAACGCCATCAGCAACCAACTGCTGGCAAGGCTTTCGATGACTCCTTGTTACAAAGGTTGCTTACAAGCACATAGGCGGTAGGGGAGATTCTATGATCCCGCTTCACAGCTACTAACCCGAAGTGGATTTCTCGGAGCAAAAAGCGCTTCGCATCAAGGGCGACAACTTAAGATGTACTTATTTTTGGACAATTTTTACAATCTGATCAATTTTCATGCTGAAAATGAAACAGCAATTGCCCATCAGAACAAAAATTAACATTAACTATCACTGATGAGCATCTTGACTTGCTCCTTTCCTGCTCCGGAAGAAAATAAACGCCCTGTCGATGACCAACTGACCACTGTGGACGATTACCTACTGTGCAGTTTTCCAGAAGACCACTTGTTATCGTATAACCATCATGAACCCAGTCCATCCAGAACACAATTCCATTTGTGCCAGTACTGTAGAAGAATTGAAAAAAAATCGTGCAATCAATATCAAATAATTTTAAAATATTAGAGCTTTTTCGAAATTATTTGGGTAAACGATTAGTTGAAATATCGAAATTTAATACAAAAAAGTATTGAAATTGAAATTAATTAAAAAAAGTATTGAAATTAATTAAATCATGATGTTAGAAGCAGTTTAGAAAACACTGGGACAAGCCAAATTTGAATTTTAGAGTTTCGATCTATACAGAGGACAAGTTTAAATCCCCTCTTCATTTAATTCGTTACCGAAATCAAGTAAATTGGTACTGGCATATTCCAGGAAATCAAATTTGCCATCAGTTTGCTTCTAAGCAACCCTCGAAAGAAAGTATCATCGGCAATTTCCCAGCGGATGGCTAACAATGTTATCAAATTATACCACAAGAGCTAATTCCAGGTGCTTTCGCCTCACTTAGAAGGTGAATATAGAGAGTGTTTCAACTTTTAACTTTAACTTTTAGTTTATTTTAAATATTTTTCAATTATCGAATTTATATTTTAAGTTTTTTGAAAATTCTTAATTTTCACATATTTGAAATTTTCTAAATATTTTTAAATAATTTTTAAGTAGTAATTTTTGTAAAAAAAATTAGCCTATAGTAAAAGTTGTCAAAATAGTTACATTTGAGGGGTAATTTTCGTCGAAAAAGTTGCTGGAGATGGTGGGCTGTTGAAATCGAATTGGGCTACAACAACTTGTTCACCGGTAATAATGCATGGATATTCCCAGAGTGGCTGAGGCTCTACGATCGCATCCACGGCACTTCGAGCTTTTTGGCACAAACGATCAAAGGCTGTCAAATCAAAGCCTTCAACAAAACCCACTGGTGCAGCTATCTTCCACAAATCATCAAATTTTACAGGCACTGCGTACAGTTGTCCTTTCTGCAATAAAAACAAGTGTTTTGAGATGAGTGTTCTGCCCTGATTCGCATTTATTTGTTCTAAAAAAAAAATTAAAAACTCGGATTTCACTGTTCCGCACTTTCATGTCACCAACGCAGCTAATAAAGCCCTCAGTCTCTGTTACTAGGGATGGCACTCATCGGAAGAAACACTAAGCTAAGTGTTTCAGAAATTTTAAAGATAAAAATAATGAATATCTCTGGCTAGAAGACTGGAAGAAACGAGCGTCTTCTGAAGAATAGAAGCGAGCGCCTTCTGGAGAAAAGAAACGAGCGTCTTGTAATCCCTCTTTTGATGAAGAAACGAGCGTTCAAGTAGTCAGGTGACTAAACACCAAGCATTGTAGCAATACTTAAAACAGCCACTAGCTGTATAACCAGATAACCGAGCTATAAATTACAGTTGATCCAGTTTTACAGGTATTCTCAAAAGCATACTTCCAACTCATCTCATCTCAGTGGATATTAAAAATAACTGTCGAATTGTTCAGCGATGCATGAGTATCAATCCCCTCCCCGCTCCGCGTTATACATATAGACTAATTTCCGCTTCCGCTATACTTGTTCGGCCTTTCACTGGCAGTTAACTAATTATTATCATTCTACCGAAGATATCCTTTTCTGAACCTGTTATTTTATCATCCACCTCATCATAGCAGCAAAAGTGCTTCTTGCTCGCGTAATAACTGATTCAGTAATGTTTCTCATGCTATACCAAGACCGTTCCATTGCATTTAAGTGTTTTGGAAATTTTTGAAAAATGTAAACTATGGGTGTTTGTTTGGCGCTGT